ACTGTGTCTTTCTGATTTAATTGACAAGGAAAGAAACCAGCCTTTGGATAACAGTAATTTTATGATGAGTAAAACAAAGAAAGTAAAAGGAACTCGATCTATAAGGAAGTCATTGATTTGCTGATGCAAATAAATTTGTAATCTGTCTACTGCTCTGCACTTCCTATAATGTATACAGTTCTTTTTTAGGCATTGGAGTGATGCAACATAAAACCCTATTTATGTAGTCAACAGCATTCTACTAAATATTAAAGTAAAACAAATCATTTGTAACTTCCTTCTAAATAAAAAAGCTGAAATACTATGTTAATATATACTAACACCTTAATACTAAGAACTGTTAATAACTACAGCTTGATCAGAGAGTAAGTTTAACGATCACATCCACCACACTTTTGTAATAGTCACTAAAAAAAGACTATCAAAAAATATAGATATGTCTTTCTTAAGGATTCTTTAAAAAAGAAAAAAATTATACATTCAATTTTTTCCATGTTAATTTTTTAAAAAAAGGAAAGAATAGTCTTACAGTAGCTTCTGGGATTTGTTTTTGGCGACAAACAACAAATCAGACACAGTTGATAAGAAAACTGAGGCAACTCAGGCATTTTAGAGTTTGGAAATTTTCCTGCTTGCATTTTATATAGGGGTGATATGTGTGTATGCACGCATAAACACATCTTGATCTTTTATATCTGTGGAAACAAATAAGGCAACTCATATAAAATAATGCATTTCTGGGGCTGTGGTTGTGGCTCAGTGGTAGAGTGCTTGCCTAGCACATGTGAGGCCCTGGGTTCAACCCTCTACACCACATAAAAACAAAAATAAAATAAAGGTATTGTGTCCAACTACAACTAAAAAATAAATATTTGAAGAAAAAAAAGAAAGCATTTCTACTTAGAGTGACTCACCAAAGAACACTAATAATACAGGAATCATAACCCACAGGGGTTTTTTTTTTCTCTTATTTGATAGCTCTGTAAAAATATAACTGGTTTATGAAACATATGTCTCAATAACACACAGACATTGCCAGGTGAATATTAAAAGAGTAAAGGTTAAAGTTACTGTGGTTAAGCATTAAATAGAAGAGAAAAAAACATTTGAACTTCTGCTATAATGGCTCAAGTGTACAAAAGGGAAAAACAAAAAAGGATACACCTTCAAATTCTTAATATCCGACTCTAGTAGAATGAACCAAAACTTAAGTTCAGTGAAACAGATGTGTGACTTCATATGTTTCACACATGACAACAGCTTGGATGCACAATCAAAGCTAAAAATCTATTGCAGCATGAAATGGAAATATGCACTGCTAACAGAAACGAACATATAAATTGTTATATCATGAGGAAAAATAAATGAAGAATGAAAATCCAATGTAATAGTATTAACTTGTTGACAAAAAGTCAAAACTGCTCAGTGCTAAACCAATGTAGCTGGACTCAAACCTCAGCGTACTGTCAGTGTACAGAACTGTTGACCCACTCATATCCCTAGATATTACTTAAGTTAGACTTGAAACTGTCAATGTTACTGGAGATTTATTTATTTATTTATCAGACTTCTTTCAACTTAAACAGAAACTGTTGAAGTAACAGCTATTCTACGTTTGTAACAAAGGAATGGATTCATAAAACTTCTGGTTAATGAAGGAGTAAGAGAGTTGAGAGTTGGAAGGAAATTTAGGGAGTCAATTCTAAATCTGAACTATATCCCAAGGTAGGTTCTAAATGAATGTCTTCAGCAAAGAATCATCAAGAGTTTTTTAAGTTCAAGACTTAATGTAAGCTGGGTACAGTGAGACATGCCTATAATTCCAGCTACTCAGGAGGCTGAGGCAGGAGGATGGCAAGTTTGAGGCCAGCCTGGGCAACAGAGACCCTATCTCAAAAAAAATAAAATAAAATAAAAAGGGCTAGGGATATAGCTCAGACAAAAAAGATTCATTGATGATTGCTTGGGGTGACACCAATATACCTAAACCCTAATACCTCCCTTCAAGGATATAGGCTGTAAAACAGAATACTGTACCTTTAAAGGATAAAAAATTAAATCCTAAGAACCAGGAGGAGTCTTACAGCAAGATAAAATACTTCAAGGAACACTTATGAGATGCTTAGGCTGGGTCTAGAACAAGGAGTCAAATTTGGACTCGTGGCAATGGAAGAGAAGGACATTCCAGGTAGTATGAATAGAATGCACTCCAATACCCTATGCAAACAAACATCATTACAACACTTCTTCCCTGATACCTTCTGCTCTTGTTGTACCAGTCTTCTTGGTTTTCTTCAAAGAGGCATTCTCTCCTCAGGGCTTACACATTTGCCTGGAATGCTCTTCCCTGATATCTGCAAGGCTTGCTTTCTTATGTCCTTCAAGTATTTTTTCAAATGTCACCTTCTCAAGAGAACTTAACTGGCTACCTTATTTAAAACTGCCATCCTTACACTCCCTATCACCTTGCCCTGTTTTGTTTTTTCCACAGCATTTATTACTACCTGGCACACTATATATATAGTCTGCTTCCTATTACCTGTGTCTACACCCTTCCCACAAGAGCAGAAGATAGATATATTTGTTCATCTTCAGTGTCTGCACACATAAGTCATGAAATAAATATTTACTGATAAACTGATGGAATAAATGAATGAAAAAGACATCTACCCTCAAATAGATTATAATCTACTGGAGAAAGCATATTATTGGCAAAAATCCAATTTATAAAGACTAATACACAGAAACAGCTTGTGGTACCCCACTTCTTCACAACCAATTAACTGACCTTTTATACCTTCTAGCTACATTTCCCCATGAAGCCTCTTTCCATATTAAGCTTCAGTGCTATCTAGTGAGTAAATATATCACCCTGTAATATTTTTATTACCACTGTTGAACAAGAAACATGTATTTCTAGATTTCCTAATTAAATTCATATTTTAGTAGATGGTTAAATTCTACATTACAGGGGTGGTATATTGATTACTGATAAGCCAGGGAATATTAAATTGAGATACGGAAAAATAAAATTTTTAATTCTATTTCACTATTGGAATATACTTTTTCTTCACTGAAAATGGCACTGGTAAAATGATTAAGAGAAACGTTCCTTTGGCAAAGGGTATTAACATTTTAAAGAAATGGTTAACAACGGAAAGTTAAAGGTATTTTTTTTTATTCAGAAGGATCAATTAGAATTATATTCTGGATTAAAGAATAATGTAGAATTTTTAAACGGAGCATTCGTATTTAAGTTACACTAAATTAAAACTACCCAGGATTAATGCAAAATATTCTCTATCACCAGCAAAGGCAAAACAACTTAAGGAAATAAATAAGCTCAAGATTTCTCTTCAGCCAACATCTCCACAGACTATATTATCATTTTAGACAAACTGACATTTTCACATTTAATTTTTAATGGCAAGAATGAGTTCCATCTAGGACCTAACTGCATAAAAGTATTAGTCTTGTCACAGTTTCAATACTGAATTGAAAGTTCATTTCTGGCTTACAAGCAAAATGCCCCAATACAACACAATAGTTACATCTCACATTAATCCTACCATCCAGAGCCCAATTTTATGCATTTAACCTAGAGGTGAATTTTGCCCCAAGGTAGGCACTTTTGTATATAACCCTTTCACAATCATTTATAAATTACTACCTAAAAGCCTCGAGCACTTAGGAATATTAACAGCGTTTGCAGTTTTAAAAGAGAGGTTTTACAAATATTACTATTCTTTGTAAGTAGAAGAGAAACTAAATTCCTTTGAAAAATGCCCAACCGGAAGCCGAAATCATAACTTCTAGGTATAGAATCACCGCACTTCAGCCATGAAAAATGTCAACAGCTATTTCAAGAGTAAGTAATTCACAATCAGGTGAAAAGCATGATAAAACTATCAGCTCCTCACTTATCTTCCTCTTTTGTAAGGAGACACCTTGAAAGTCACACTGGGCAGTTGATCTCACGGAAACATCCATGGGAGACTGTACCGAGCGTGCAGTCACCGAAACGCGGGAGGCTAAAGTTCCTCCGCTATGAGAGGATTACAGCGGAAAAACAGTAGCCCATCTGTCCACTGGCGAACATAAAGAAATCCACCTGGAAGGGTTGGAAGTAAGGGAGGTGGGGCTGTGAGAAGAGCGGAGGCAACCCGAGCCGCCCACAACACGAAGGCAACCGCGCGGGGTGGGCTCCCGGGACTTAGGGCGCGGGGCTAGGAGCGGGCGCAGGTGGGCTGCAGATGCCGACCCCTGAGGGCCGGGCCCGAGCTGCCGAGAAACCACCCTGCCCACAGACGGGCGGAGGAGCCGCCCCGCAGAGCCACGTCGGAGGCTGGGAGCCCGGCGAGAGGTGGGCACCTGGCTCACACCCACTGGAAGCTGACAGCCGGGAGCTCGAGGCTGCCAGGGCGCTAAAAGGGCCGCAGCGCGCCGGACGGAATCGCTCCGAGGAAGCCGCGCTGGGCGCTGCCCGCCGTCAACGACTCCCCCTCGCCCTGATCGGCGGCGGCTGGATACTTACGTAGGGCTGGTAGAACTTGGAGAGCCGCGGCTTCCCGTGGTTGTTGAAGATGAGGATCGCCTTGATCATGGCTGGGCCGGGCCGACTGGGTAGGCGCTGGGGGCCAGGGCGGGGGCGGGCACGCGAGCCTCGCCTCGGGATCTTGCCAGCGATCCTTCCCCACCCGCCCCCTCCCGCACGCGCTCGCGCGCGCTCCCGAGCCGCTGGGCGGGGGGGGGAGGGTTGAGGGGCGGGGCCAGGGCGGGGCAGACGCGGAGGGAAGCGGAAACATTTTCGGGCCAGAGCCGACTTACCGGAGGGGTGCTTTTCACTTGGCGGCTCATGGGAATGTTGCCCGTGGAACCCGTCCTTAAGTTTATCTCAGTAAGAAAACATCAGATGCCATAGTAACAGCCAGGGGTCCTAGACAGTTTCCATATGGAGAGCTAGCCGGAAGCTCCAACGTTCACCGTTGGGTTAGATCCCCCTTTGGCGCGTCCTTTGCGATTCTCCTCAGCGCTGAGCCCGCCCTCTGCACGCTCTCAGCTGCCACTTCCGCTCTCGCTTTCCACCGTGCAATATGGCGGAGGAGCCTGAGTCGGTGTTGCAACTCCCTTCAACTGCTGCTGCCGGCGGTGAAGGACTTACGGATGTCTCCCCAGAAACAGCCACTCCAGAGCCCCCATCTTCTGCTGCAGTCTCGCCGGGGACAGAGGAGCCTTCAGGCGACACCAAGAAAAAAAGTAATTTTGAGAGCAGTCTGGGCAATGAGGTGGGAGGTTTAGCTGCGGTCTCTAAGGGTGGTGGCCAATAACGAATCGAAATTTAGAGGAAAGCGCGAACCAGAGGTACATTTTCGGGAGTCCGAAGAGAGGAAGCGTGCTTTCATTTTTCAAACCTTGTCGAGTGCTTCACGAGGAAGCAGTCTCCGGACTCACCATTGTGCTTGCTGGGCTACGTTAGGTGCCTTGGTTATCCATGTGGTTCCAGGTACTTAGCTGCCTCCGTGCTTTTTACTATGTATTCTAATCTACCTGTGAGTTGGCTAGATTACAAGTCTTGAAGGTGAGATCCGAGTGAAAGTTCAGTAGCTTCCGGTGCTTAACATAGGAGCTAATTATTTGAATAATGATTTAAAGTAATAAGGATGGTCAGAATATGGAGAAGTACTGGCGAACGAAATCAACCAAATTAAGGATGGTCAGTGGCAAGGCCTGGAATTAGATCGCTGCTTTTGTCTCTCCTACAACAGAGTGTGAATGGACTCCTTGAATCGGAAAAAACTTGAGGTTTTACTCAGTGTGGACATTGCTAAGGGAAATTTGAAAATACAGATATTACCTTTTTTAAAAAAATTTTGGAACCATTGTGAATCATTTCATTGCTTGAATCTATCAGTCCTCACGGTTTACTGCTTGAGAATTTGTTCTTTGTTGGAAATTAATTTCTAATGTTATTTGTTTTGAGCACTCTGGAGACTTGAGAGTTGCTTGTGAGCAAAACATCTGCAAAGAGACTGAATTTCCTTAGACAAGTTTCCTCACCAGAGTCTTGAACGGTAGATAAGTTTTCTGATCCATGATCTCACTGGCCTGTCATTGAACTTTTTTCTGCTGTTATGGAGAAAAATTGCCTCTCCCAGCACTGCTTCCCTTTTAAATCAGATTCATTTGGGGCTGGGGATAAAATGAGCTCGGTTGTAAGATAAATGCTTGTCTTATAATGTAAGCCCTAGTTTAATCTCCAGCACCACAAAAAGAAAGAAAAATCAGACTGCTTTTACCTCTGGGAAAAAAATCTGTTGTCATTCCACCTGATGAACTGTGATTACTTGTACAGATTAACACCAGAGTCTTTCTTCAAAAGAATCCTATATGTTTTGTAGATTGTTGTTGGATTGTTTTTTTTTTCCATTTTGCCTACATTGAAAGGATTTTTTTAAAGGTTTAGTCAAAATTTACTACTTAAAGCCAGGCATGGTGGTGAATGCATGCCTGTAATCCCAGCAACTCAGGAGGATGGCAAGTTCAAGGCCACCTTCCAATTAGCAGCAAGACCCTGTCTCAGAATAAAAAATAAAAACACTCCTGGGTTCATTTACCAAAACCAAAAATTTACCGCTTGACACTCAGGACATCTTGACACTCAGGATATCTTTGTTACAGAGATGGAAAACAGTGACCTAGCACCCAGAAGGTGTGTTTTCTTTGGTATGCATAATTTTCTTTCTTTTTTTTTTTTTTTAACTGAACCATCCTATTGAATTCCTATCCTGATTGTGATCCTTTTTGAGGAAGATCTGATGAAAGAAACTTGAATACTTCAATCTCTGCAACTTTAGAGGATTGTTGAAACCTATCAAGGTTGTAGGCCCTGAGGGCACCTTAGGCTCACCTGGGGAATCTTTTGAACAAAACTGTGCTAAAGTCTCTACTGTCAAAAGATTCTCACTTAATTGATGTATATGCCTGTATTTTAAATGTTCCCCCAGTTGATTTTAATGGGTAACTAGAGTTTGGAACTATTGGCAGATCCCCTTAAGAATTGCAGGGTTATGCAGTGAAAATTTCTTCTTCTTGCCCTCAGGCTCTTCTTCCTTCATCAGTAGACTGGGTCCCTAATTACAGCGCCTGGGGACTGAGGAAAGAGGGAGGGAAGTGTGGAAGCCAAGCTAGCCAAAATCCCATCTAAATTCTTCCAAATGAAGAGGAAGATAAACTATGTGCATCATATATTTTAGTTGCCTTCATTCCAGGGGTAAACTAGAATAAATTGATCTCTGATTCCAATGGGCCCCAAGCTTTTAATTCCAAGAATGGCCTAGGGGGTAATAGAACAGAATTAACTGTAGGGGGCAGCAGTATGCTATTTTTCTTTCAGTATTGCTTACTTTGATTATAGGTGTTTTTGATTTTTTTAAGGGACATAACTTCAAAAGACAGAATCAGTCTTCAGGTTTGCATTGCTGTATTTTAGATCATTGAAAGGATTTCTCCGAACCTTACTTTTGGCCCAAAATTGTATTTTATTTTTAATAACATGTTTTTTCTTTATTAAAGAGTTTATTGTAGAAAACTCAGCAGTTACAAAAAGCCTGTTATGTCAAGTAATAATTGCCTGTGTCACTACTGAAAAGTAATATTTTGTTTAAATTCCTTAAACTCGTGGCCTTGGAACAGTTGGTATGAAACTAATAGTGATTATTTTCCCTTAGAAGTGTGTAATAGTTCCTAGGCAACAATGTATAAGTATATAGAAGTACACATGGAGCTACATTTTACTTTATTATCCATTTTCTATAATCATGTGAATATGTGTTCAAGATGCTTTTAATGAAATTGAGACAATATATGTACTGTTTACATTAGGTTTATTTTGCTAGCATCACTATGTTGTTAAATATGCTTTTATAATGTCTCTTTAATATTTAATCTTAAAGTTCAATAAGAATGACTTAAGTGCTGGATACTGTTATAAATATGTTAATTCATTTAATCCTCATTACAACCCTATGAGGTAGGTGCTATTTATTATCTCCCTCTTACAAATGGAGAAACTAGCATGGGGAGTGCTGAGGGCCATTACCAAGTAGGAATGACGAATTGAAATTTCCTTGCCAAGCGTACCCCATGCTGCTTAGAGGACATTTGATGGAACATTGCATGCATGCTTTAATGAGGTGACTTTGCTCAAGGACCTAGGCAGATCCGGGTTTAGAGCTGATCAGGTTTGAGGAAGTAACCGGCTCCTTGAGTTT